TTGGACGTCAAACAGTAGCGAGTGTAGCATGTTTTGTAACCGGCTGTGCGGGGCTGGTTATAATAACTGTGAAAAATCCCATTAATTCAGCCGCTAACGCCTCGTATTGTCACTTATCCCTGGGCCATTTTGACATAAGACCAATGCTTCACACGTAAACTCAAAACTTTTTTTGTCTGCCTAATTACACTTGACAAACAGCACGTGGCTTGAAGCGTTTAGCTGAGGGAATGCATTGGTTTTGTGTTTAATTTACACATGCTCTGGTTCAAATCCAGAAACAGCCAAATTCATTTTTAATAATAACAACGGAGTTTCCTCACCAGACTGAGGCTGTGACCTCATTTCCTTTGTTGGGCTGCTACAGGAAGCACGGTCAGCCTCTTCCTTTCACACCGTGACAACCTGATGAGGGGTGACATCTGGGGAAATGAAGCTCATTCACAGTAAATCTACTGACTAAATCAATGATCTGTGTATTTTTATGCAGCACAAGCAATGTTTTTTTTTTTTAATAAATGTGAACTAGAACTCGATTTTTACATTTATGAAGAAAAGTTAGTGGTGTTTGCCCTTGCAAAACTTGCTGTGATGACGTTGCATGTATATGGTTTCCAGGGTGTTGCTATGCAGTCCCTAAGAATTCATGATTGGTTGTTAGTGGTTGCCAGGGTGTTCTAGTGGCTACACTCTTAAAAATAAATGTTCCAGCTGCCATTAAAACGGGACGCCATTAAAATGAACCATCCACTTGATTCCACGATATCAGTGACGCAAAAGAGCTGTTTAAACTAAACGTGTCAAAGCGAACGTTCTGTAACTCTTTCATTTGTCCTCTTGTTGATAGACTCAAGTATGTGCAGTATGTCAGAAACTGAACACACATCTGAATACTGTATCCAGTGTAGACAGCATCAGTTATTATAATGGATTAAATTCGCTTTTGATGCAACGCTCACATCCAGTGTAGGCATGTAATTTGTTAGTGGGAGGGATGATGTATATCTATTCGTCGACGTCTTGCTCTGGAAGCAGGCATATGCAATGACGTCACAGATTGCGCAATATCAAAACGTACCATTTCTGGTGCTTAAATAAATGCTTTATTATAATGAAGACATTTTAAGCTATAAAACTTGCAGGATGTTTTAATGGAACAAATACTTTTTATATGTCAAAAGATAAAGGCACATTTGATTTCTCATGTCATGACCCCTTTAAATCTGAAAAAAAATGTTTGTTTAAATCTTGTGGACCCACAAATGAATTATAGTATTGTATATATCACCTGGTTTGCCTATATAGTCCAGTCATTTTAAGCCAAAATAGGGGTCAACCTTGAACAAATTGAAACAAACTCAGCTGATTTTCCGATAAACCCCATCTCTGCCATAATGATTAATAAAGGCTTGTTTTTATAGTACTTCTTCCTGTATTAATGTTCATGGGTAGCATAAGTGGGTTCCATTCAGACCTTAACATTAAGTCTTTTACTTTTATATGTTAACAAGGTTAAAAAAATAAATACAAATTTTCACCTGCTATACCCAATGTTTAAATCTGTTTGGGTAATTATGCAAATGAGCTAATACGTAATTATATTAAGCACCGTTTGTCCATGTTAACAAACAATTTCGAAAAACTTGTAATACAGTTTTTGTTTGTCTTGATGTAAGTAATCAACTCAGTGATTTTCATGATGATATCTAAAGGTTAAAATTTTTACCCTATTCACGTGAGAAAAAGAATGAATATGCGAATGAATGGGATATACTTGGGTCTTTTTCTAAAATTTCCCCTAATGGGATTCTTCAGGGCTTTTTTTCGTTACTCAGGACATATTAAGGATACAAAATCAGTTGAGTTTGCTTCTGTTGCAATTTGTTCAACATTTTTTCATAAAATGACTGGACTAATACTAGCAACATCATGTGAACAGGTTTCAAAACAACACAAACTAAAAGCTTTTTTTTTTCATAAGGCAGGTAAAATATTTACAGACACTGAGTCTGGGCAGATTTAGTTGAACTTTTCAGCACCTTTGTGAACTGCACTTCTCCAACAATGCCCATCAGCACAACTGCGTGTTCAAACTTTCAACAGCCGTAAACATGTTAGCAAGCACCGTTGTTCAAATGAAGCGCTTCATCGGCATACCGCACTGGTCCTCTTGAAAGGCTCCTTTGTGGTTCGAACTACAACTACTCAATCCAGGGGGGGGGGGACTGAACTGACATTCCAGCCTTGCTTAATTAACCCTGGGTAACGATAAAGCAGTCATGCTTTTCAAACCAAATCTCACTCCACCTTAATGACTTCCAGAGTCTCCCATAACATAAAGACCCCCGCTGAACTCCAATGGCCAGCCACCCCCTTCTTAGCCTCCTTTAAAATCTTTCTCTCAACTCTTTAAACCATGCAGTCTTTTTTCCTCAATCTCACATGCGGGCCACTCGAGTTTAGACTGAAGGGAAGGCTCAGCATTTGAGGGTGCTGAGCATTCCTGAGGTTTCTCACCCCACTTCAAGAACCCAGCTGACGTAACTAATACAGCTCTTGCATTGACATACTGTAGTAAAAGCTTTGCGACTCCAAAAGAGGTGTCAAAGCACTATTTTTGTTGTACACAATTTATCCAACTGAATAAGGCATCCTATTCAGACGTTTCTCTGAGAGGACCCTCTATCATGCTGTTGATTGCTAAGGGTGTCTTTGATAGTCTAGATGTTTGACAGCAGTATAAAGCGAATCATTTTAATGGTTTACAAACTATTCATAGACAGTGACAAATGTATTTAGTTTCCAACACATTGCTCTGGTTTTTATTTATAACATCATATTTGTCCCAGACGTGTTTAATGAAGTCTATTCATTGAGTAAAGCGACAACACGTACAATACAGATGGAAAAACATTCTGCAGACTGATTCTGTTGTCAGTTGTCAACCATTGCTGTTGTTTTACAGACAGATTAAAGTACCTTTGTGTTTGCAGCATATCTAATGATCACAGGTTTAGGAGCTAGAGAGCTTTCATGCTCGTTTGACAGCTTGCTGGTCTTACTTTTGTCCCCAATGGTTTGAAATTTATTAAAGGAAAATATGTGATGTTATTGGGGGCAAAAAGGAGAGCGTGTGTAATATTTAGTTTAGAGCTTCAATAGGAAGACAGTTGTCATTTTCTACTCCAGTTTTATTTCTCAGTTGGGTAATTAAAGCAACACTAAGTAGGATTTTTACCTCAAAATAATGTTTCCAAAATCGTTTCAGTGGTTCATCAAGTCGTTGCATGGTGCACTTATGCCACCGCTTTGCGGTCCTCTGATCTGGTATATCCACGCTATGTAAGATTGCCAGATCGGGTCTCGTTTCTATAGTTATAATGAGGACAACTTCGCTTCCGACCGCAGGGGAAAAGTTCCTGTTGCTTTAAAGTCTTAAAGTTTCTGTAAACACAGAGTAACAGAGTAATAGAAAATACTAAAATGTCAAACATTGTTTTGGCCAGCATAAACCACAATTACATCTAAAAGTCAAATATACTTAATTAAACAAGTTTAGTTCACTCAAGTATTACTTACTAGAAAAATGTTATGTGAACAATAAGTTCCCGGCATGCTTTGCTTCAGTCTTGCTCACTCACTTTAGTGTGATACACTAACATTTGGGTTGTCTCACACTTCCTGGGTAAACCTCGTGCAAAATATCAAGATAATGTGAAATAAATCTATGTATCCCACCAGCATGGAACTTGATTTGTCTGAAACACAGATTTTCTTCTTACTACAACTTCATGTATAAAGACAGTGCACAGTTTCTTTACTGTTACAGATCTACAGTACAGTATATACAATACTAGATGGAGTAAATAAAGAAATAATTTTTTATTTTATTTTTTATTTCACCTTTATTTAACCAGGTTAATCGGTTGAGAACAAGTTCTCATTTGCAACCGCGACCTGGCCAAGACAAGGCTAAAAGTGCAAGGCAACATAAAATTACAACATTCAAGTGTATAAAGAGGTGAAGTAATGGTGAGACGCGTGTTTGTGCACCCAAACCGGGGCATGAAATTAAATAGATAAAATTGACCGTCAAATGCAAGTAGGCCCTGTTTACTCTTGGTGCAATGTGACAACTAACCCTGATCACCCCTAATACACACAGTCTTTATCACAGCTAAGAAAAGTTAGAGCTTGTGTGGCATCACCCTACAAACATGACATCTCTGTCGTGGTTTGACTGATTTAAGGGCGGGAGTGTTTAGAGGAATGAGATGACAGTGAACGACCCCCTCTAGCTCAGTCTGGCGAAGTGATGTGAGGCCAAGAGAGACACACAGACATGATGTGAAAGCAAACACAGACTCGAGATGAGCCGAGATCTAAAAAACGTTCTTCGGGCAGAACATCAAGAAACGGCGACATGCTTCAGGAGTCATGCTGAAATCTGTGACAGATGTAATGCTTCGCATACAAAAAACAACAACAACCGAGGAGCGGATGATAAATGAAACGTACAGTAAAAGCTTGTTTCAAACCGGGAGCTGTCAACGCAACGGCCTCCATCTGAGACTCTGCCATGAGTCTGAACACAGCCAGTTTTCACGAGTCAGCGCTATGAAAGATAATATTGATTCCACTTCACAGTTATAAATTCTTATTCCATAAAGGTTCAGTGTTGACGGCATCACTCGTACTCCATCACACGGAGATGGAAAACGTAATGATTTAATTTTACACCGGAGGGTTAGAAATACAGTGACTATAAAGAAATTATGACACTTTGATGAGCGCATTTACTGAATGTGTAATTATAACGGTTAATCCCCCCCAAAAAAAGAAACACAATGTATCATTTGCAAAGCCGATTTAATAGCCTATACTTTCAAATTTTCATTTAACTCGCATTAACACACTTATTAAAACAAGCTAAGCGCTAACATTATTTACAGTGGTGATAAGCAATAAATGCAGTATGACTTATAAGCATGAGGCAGATAGTCTGTTTCTGGGGAGTTATTTGTCTTTGCGGAGAGTACAGTAAAGTTATTAACTGATCCATCTGTGCTCTGCCAGGTGTTCCTCCAGCTGCAGAGACTGATGGGAGGACATCGCATCACTTCCTGTGCGGTCACCCTTCCGCGTTATCCACTTGGATCCACAGGTCAAGGATGGAAACTATGAATCTGTGAAGAATATTCTACAATGTCAAAGAGACAATTTCCCTTCTGTCTACTCTCATTCTTTCGTTTCCTTCCCTCACACATACACACGTAAATGCTTGGCTAACACACTGAAAAGTGCAAAAAAAACTTGCTACCATTGCTGTAGTGCAATTTACCTTCAAATTTTAGTGCTGTATGTGTAATTACTCTAATAGTTATATAAACATGTTGACAGTTGAAGTGTCTCTGTGCTAATGTACTAAACTCTTTTAAAGCTGACTGAAACTGCCTAGAGAAATTTTATGCTAACGCCCGCAATAGTGCACACTATGCTAAAAATGCAACACATACTTAAAATTTAGCTTGTGTTCACATAATTGCATAGATTATGTGTTGATCCTAAAGGCTAAAGCTGAAACTCTGCTCTGTTTTTACACATCTTTTAGGGTGTGTGCAGTGCATGATGTACATTTCATAATTAGTACAGATGATGAAGCAAAGATGAAGCTTTGCAGTGTACGTGTTGAGCACCTGAAAGGTTATTATGAGTTCATAAATACAATTTTAAAATAAGCTAATAAATGTAAGCTGTCATTGTCCATAGCCAAAAGAATACCGACCGATAAAGGATTTTAAAGGCCGATACCGATACAAATATTTCTTGGTTTTAAAATCCGATATATCGGCCGATATTTCTTTTTTTATATAATGTGATAATGCATTTTAAAAAGAAACTTATTTCTTTTATTGTCACAACAGAACAGAGGAACATCAAAACATATTAAAGTTCTGATGAATAAAATAATAATTAGTCCCTACATTGCCTTATAAGCTACCTTATATTTACAATGTCAGCTTGCTTATCCCTTTACCTGCACTTTTTAAATTCTTTCCATCAAGCTACATCAAACCATTTCCAATCATCAGTTGCTGCCTGCCTTCTAAAACCTACTATTCAGCGATTGTAAATCCATTACAGAACGACAGTCCGCAACGCACACTTGGCGTCGTTGGATTTCACACACATGTAAAAGAAAAGTTAACTTTTTTCCTTTACGTCTAAATGTTCACTCCTTTTTACAATGCAGGGACTGTAACTAGATATGCTAGTTATAAATACAGTAATCAATACTTTATTTAGGCAGAACAATTTTGTTGTGGTTTCCAAGCTCATTAATGTTAACGTTAGCGGTCTTCCACTGATGATAGTGGCGTTAGCTAGCTTTGAGGTTAGCTAGTCTATGATGAGCCAACACTCATGACATGGTTGAAGCGTGTTTAGTCCGTTTTTATTTTATTTATATTCATTTATCAGCCATTATAACTGCCGATAACGATAGTTTGGAAAATGCCTAATATCGGCCGATAATATCGGTCTACCGATAAATCGGTCTGGCTCTACTTGTAACCTAGCCAAAGTAGACCATCAGTTAAAAATAAAATAATAATAAATCTTAATTAAGTTAAATTATCTATTTGCATAAAACATACTTCTGTACAGATGTCTTTTTTAAGCAATGAGTTGGATTGGGATCCACTAAAAAAAGGTTCAAACACTAAAGCACTAAAACCTCTTCTCCATATGGATTAAATATGTATTGTGTATTGTCATTACTACAATTTGTCGAGACAATCCTACCCTAAGCATAAATTAGATATGGGCCACTTTCCTGGTAAGTACAATGCCACTCTTAGAAAAAGGGGCTCTATATATGCAGCATAGGGTTCTTTACTCAACTCCAAAGGACATTTTATGCTAAAAAAGGTTCAATAATGACAAGAAAGAACACTTTTGGCACAAAGGTTCTTTGAAGGCTATTATTCATTCATATATTACATTATTCTGTTGTTATTAAATTATTGTTTATTAAACTGTTGTAGTAACTTAATATCACATTTTAATCATGCAGATTTTTGGAGGATAAAAACTGAAATGGCAATCTTTGTGTGATATTGATTAACTAACATATCTTGAATTTTGTGATCATTTACAGGCACTGCATTTTAGGGGTTCCAAATACGTAGCGCTTTAGAACCTTTTAAGGTTCTAGAACCTTTTCTTCTAAGAGTGTGGTCAGAAAACCTATGGAAATGCATATAATTTTCTGCATTTCCAGAAACTGTGTTTGTACAGTATGTGTACCTTCTAGAAGCCTCCATTCTGGGCGTTATAGCTGGAATCAGGAATTGTGTCCAAGAAAATAACAGGACGACATTACAGGGCCTGTTTTCTGAAGCTCTCTTCCCTGTTCCTGTTCCCATCTCTGTCACTAATTAGCCAGAGCCGGCAGCTGGGAGCGATAGGAAATGGCACAAGCTGAAAATGACATGGATCAAGAACACCACCGCCTAATGATACGCAGCACACCACCAGCGACGCCAGTCAACCAGAAAGAAAGAATAGAGTCAGGCTGGCCAAACGAGAGATGCTGAGCTACACGCAGCGTTAATACCTACAATGATGAAGGGAGATACTTTCTCAAAGCCAAAGCCTACCTGTGGCTTAACGCTGAGGAATGTCTTAATTAAAGATGAGATGGAGTTATTAAATAATAGATTATTCCTAACTGAAAAGATGAAATTATGCTGTTCATTCTCAAAGTCAAATAACCGCCGTACACCTCTCCAACTCACTAATCTCTTTATTTTATGGGTTTTGGGTATGCAGAGCATTCATAGTTTCATTATAATTATGCCCAAACTGTTGAAAACGCTGCCTTTCCCTGCTTAAAGAGCCACCGGTTTGTTTTAACAATTCAGAAGCATTACAGTAGAAGTAATGAGAATTATTAGATGCTAATTAGATCTATGTTTCTTGAAGTGAAGTGTAAAGAGTCATTATGGGATGACATGAAGATCAGTTAGAGTATGGAGTAGATATTAGATTCAGCCGTGTATTCTCAAACTATACAGTAGGCAGAAGTCGCAATGGGCACACTGCCACGTAAACACAGAAGTTGGCATCTCCTGCGCAGGAATCCATCTGCAAACACAAATTAGAAAAACGTGTTCACGGTGATAATAAAGCCATCTCATCCTGGAAAATTCCATAAAGCTGTCAAGATGTCTCGCGCTTCAATCCAGCATCAGTGTGGGGAACCAATATAAATCCGTATTAGATCAAGACAGAAATAATGAGTCGATAAACCTGTTGAATTATCTCAACTGAGAGGCGTGTGATGGTTTTTGTAATGCAGACAGGGAGGGATTATATGATTTAATGTCCTTAAAAATCCAAGGACCTCTTAAACGTGGCATTAGTCAACTTCACTGGCACTTCTTTCAAACGAACTCCATTACACTCTCATATTTGAGTTTCGTTGGACGGATAACATTAATAATAAAAGAAATTCTTGAGTTTGCCTGCCCTAGAATAGCTTATTTTATATAAAAATAGTGTCAAAAAGAAAAGCCTTGGAGGAACGAGCAGGAGAGGGCTTTGTTTAGCTTCACATCTCAGCTCTCTGTTCAACCTCAAGGTCGCTCTATGTGCTTGAAGCTATCGGAGAACATAACAGAAAAATATTACACATTGACCTACTGAGCGTAAGGCAAGCAGGTCTGTATTAAACTAGACTAATTTAGAGGATATAAAAGACAAAGAATGAGTAAATACAGAAGAAAATAGTGAAGGAAGACTCAATGGAGAGAGAAAAGGCTAGAGAACGATGGGATACAAGAGGTCATGGAGCCAGAGTGAGCTACGTTCAAGGCAACTTTCGTAAAAATGTCAGGGTCAGAGGTCTTCCTCTGGATATTTTTTTATAAAAGAATAAAGAATACTGTTTGAGGTAATGCCAAGACCATCTCTTATGGAAGCTTGTTTCCGCCATAGAATGAAAAATATAAAAGGTAATTGCGACTTTTTATCCCACAATTCTGACTTTTTTTTTTGCAAAAAAAAAAATTGCGAGTTTATTTCTCAGAATTGCGAGATGGAAAGTCAGAATTGCGAGATATAGAGTCAGAATTGCGAGATATAAAGTCGCAATTGCGAGATATAAAGTCAGAATTGCGTGATATAAAGTCACAATTGCAACTTGCGAGATATAAAGTCAGAATTGCGTGATATAAAGTCAAAATTGTGAGATTTAAACTATTCGGAGGATAGTTTTGAATTGGAATTGGCCTGATAAGTCGCTATTGCGAGTTTATATCTCACAATTCTAAAAAAGATGTCACAATTTCGACATATAAACTCACAATTATGTGTTATAAAGTCAGAATTCCGAGATGTAAACTCGCAATTGTGAGAAAAAAGTCAGAATTGTGAGATAAAAAGTTATTTTTTTTAGTTTTATATTTAGTGGCGGAAACAAGGTTCCATACTTTCTTGTGCTTAACTATCATGAAAATAAATGTCACAGTACAAGAAACCCTAGTTGTCCAGGAAAATAGCCCCATAATAGCTATTACCCACAGCCCCCTATAGCAACCACCCTGAACACCCTAGCAACCACCCATAACACTCAAGCGACCATCCAGAACACCTCTAACACTATACAAACAAACACCCAAGGCACTCGAGTGACACTGGCGTTTTGCACCACTCACGTTTTTCTCAGAAAAAGTAAAATCTAGTCGGATTTGTTTTCTCACTCTCTCTGTCCCTCCCGCCGCGTATGGGTCTCTAATGGTGCGCAGATGGCGTTCAGTCTTCACGCGGTTAGAGGGGTCTTCAGGATCACACTCCCATATGCAGGGAGGTGACCTGTACATACCTGAGCCCTGCAAGCACCCCCTCTGCCCAGTCCAACCCTATTAAAATATACGAGCAGAGAGCCATCCGTCCTTCCCAAGCCTTTAAATACAAACATCCTGATAGTTTAATGAGCTAATTAACTTGGATTTCAGTTTCTCAATAGCGGGTCACAATGGCGAGCATGGGGTCGATAGCTTGTGATGCTTGGTGGACTGAGAGTGTTTCGTTTTCTAAGGATTCGTGTGACTTTGATAGGTGAGATTTGATAGTAATTCATTAACTAAATCCTGTGGGAATGTAATAGTGAAAAAAGGTGCTT